GTTAACTATAGGCACCATGTCATGCACTAGATCTCAAAAATTTATTCCTCCTGTCTAACTGAACCTTTTACGCATTAACCAACATCTCTCCGTCCCTCCTCCCATCCCACCCCAGCCTCTGGTAACCACCATTCAACTTGCTGCTTCTGTGAGTTCAACTTTTTCCACATATAAGGGAGATCATGTCGTCTTTCTGTGCCCAGCTTATTTTACTTAGTATAATATCCTCCAGGTTCATACAGGTTGTCACAAATGACAAGATTTCCACATATATCTCTTTCTTACATTTTCTTTCTCCATTTATCTGCTGATGAATACTTTTCTGCTTCTGTATCTTGGCTGTTGTGAATGAAGCTGCCGTGAACATGGGAGTATGGATTCTCTTCAACATACTGACTCCTATTCCTTTGGATACAGACCCAGTAGTGGGATTGCTGGATCACATGGTAGTTTTATGTTTAGTTTCTTGAGGAACCTCCGTACTGATTTCCGTAATGGCTGTGCTAATTTACACTCTTGCCAACAGGGTGCAAGGGTGCCCTTTTCTCCACATCCTCGCCAGCAATTGTTATCTTTTGTCTTTTTTGATAATAGCAATTCTAGCAGGTATAAGGTGATATTTCATTGTACTTTTAATTTGCATTCTCCTGATGATTAGTGATGATGAGGATTTTTTCATATACGTATTGTCCATTTGTGTGTCTTCCTTTTAGAAATGTCTGTTTAGGTCCTTGCCCATTTTAAAATTGGTCTTGTTTTCTTGCTATTGAGTTGTTTTTTAAACTTTTAATTAACTGAAAAATGTATTTTGTACTTATTTTGGAAGAATAGTGTATAAAATTCTCACTTGATAGTTATTTTTCCTCTGAGCCCTTCAAAGATACTATTTTATTTTATTTTGGCCTTTCATTGGTGCTGCTGAAATTCTGCTGTCAGTCTAATTGCTGTTTCTTCAGAGTTGATCTTACTTTTCTTTTTGGCTGTTTTAAAGATCTTATGTCTTCGGTGGTCTGCAATTCCACTATGTTGTATCTAAGTAACTTTCTTTTTATTTATTCCCTTTAGTATATCTTGTGCTTCTCTGTAAATACTTCTCTTTCAGTAGTTCTGAAATATTTTCAGGCATAATCTCTTCAGCTATTAGCTGTCTTTCCTTTGGGATTTCAGCACAATTTCCATTAGCTCTCTGTACATTACCTTTTATGTTTCTTAGCTTCTCTTTCCTATTTTCTATCTCCTTATTCCTTGTGCTACATTCTTGATAACTTCTTTATATCTGTCTTCCAGTTCACAGATTCCTTCTTCAGCCATGTCTAATTTGCGACCTAACTTGTCTGCAGAGTATTTTTCTTACAATGGCTTTACTGAGATATAATTCACATACTATAAAATTCATCCTTGTATACAATTCAGTGTTTTTAAGTATGTTCACAGAGTTGTGCAATGATCATCACTATCTGTTTTTAGAACATTTTCATCACTCCAAAACGAGTGGTTTTCATCACTTCGTTTATTAATAATGCTCATCAGTAGTCACTCCTATTCCTTCCTTCTCCCACTACCTGTCAATCACTAATCTATCTTCTGTCTCTTTCAGATTTTCCTATTCTGGACATTTCATATAAACAAAACCATATAAGATGTGTTTTGTATGTATGTGTGTGACCAGCTTCTTTCAGTCACCATGATTCTTTCAAGGTTTCTGTTTACCTTTTAATTTCAATGAAAAGTTTTCCATTTCTAGAGGTTCCATTTTTTTTCATATAAGCATGGTGGTTAGTTTGATAGTGCCTTGTTCCTTCTTTTAATACATCTTAAACACATTAAATAGGCTAATTTTATATTCTATAATTGATTAACTTCAATTTAGAAAGCTGTGGGGATTTAAATCTGTTGCTTGTCATTGTTTCTTTTTTTTTTTTTGTCCTTTTTGTGACCAGCTGCACCACGCTCAGCCAGTGAGCGCATCGCACTGGCCATCCCTATATAGGATCCAAACCCGCGGCAGGAGTGCCGCCGCGCTCCCAGCACCGCACTCTCCTGAGTGCGCCATGGGCTCGGCCCTTTTGTTTCTAATGAATATTACTTTGGAGGCTTGTTTCCTTTGGGTATTTGCTGATTTTTGATTTTGAACTCATTTGACTGAGTTGAATCTGTGAGAACCCCAGTCCCAGGGTAGGGGCTGCTTTCCTCCAGAAAGAATTGACTTTTGCTTTTGCTTGTGCATGCAGGGGTGCTACTGACCTGGGACCACTCTGGCTGGCTCAGCTTCCCATGAGAGCTTCACCATCTCCCTGTGAGGTCTCAGCCCTCTTCTCTCTCCCCTGACCACACACTCTGGGCGGGTGCTGCAAACACTCCCCCAAATCCTCAACCTCATCGGTGTGCTCTGATGTAACTGCCAATGACCAGTGTCTGCACCTCTGTGCAGAGGGAAGCTACTCAGCCTGCCTCGAGTGGGTGGCAAGTGGAAAGTGCTGAAGAACCTCCTGGAGCAGCCCTCAAATAACGACTTCTGAGAGTTGCCATAAAACCACCTCAGCTCCCTTACCCTTTGTGTGAGCTCACTTGGAGGCTCTTGTTTTACACTAATTCCCAGAGTTCCTTGTGGGATCAGGCTCCAGTTTGCCACAGCTGTAGTTTGCTCAGTATCTCACCTCTGCCGGTCTCCTTCCCTACCCTGGACCACCTCCCCACTCCTCCCTGCACCTACAAATAAACACCTTGCCCAGAATCCTTGCCTCAGGCTCTGCTCTTGGAGAACCAACACCAAGACCAGGCCCTCAGACCCAGTGAGGGTCCCGGATCTGCCCGGGATTGCGTTGGCTTCACATACGCCTTCTCTCCATTACCTTATTTACTTACTTATTTATGGACTCAGAGGTTTCTCTTACTTTCTGACAGCTCTGAAATGTTTTGAAAAGAATTGTGTCTGAGCTGTGATCTACTTCTCGCTCTCAGCACCTGATTCATCTCAACTCCTCCTTCAGGTCTCAGCTAAAGTGTCATGTCCTCAGAGAAGCTTTCCTTGACCTCGAGGCAAACCAGGGTCCCATTATGCTCTCTCGTCCATCTCTTCTGTTGCCTTCAGTCCTGCAAGGCCGCACAGTGGAGCAGTGAGGCGCTCTGAAGCCCAAGCTTCTTGGGTTCCAACATCAGCTGTGTCACCTGGTCAGTGTGTGACCCTGAGCAGGGATCTCAAATCTTGGTGCTGGGTGTCCTCATCTGTAAGGTAGGGATGACGATAATACCTACACAGTAGGGCTGTTGTGAGACTGTAGTGAGATAATATATATGCAGCGTTCAGAACACTTGGAGCACGTAGTGTGTGCTCAGTAGATGTTGGCTTTGGTCGCCACGTCTTGCAGAGACACGCTGGTGATAATCATTTGTCTAACATAAAATTTAGGATGGCAGACAGCACGCACATCTTCTAATGCCCTTGCCCAGGGCCCAGGGCAGTGCTAAGCCAATAGTAAGCACGTCATAAATATCTTTTGGCCAAATGAATTAAGGCAGGACGCAAAGGAGCCACGGTGGACCGTGGCTTACCCAGTGCCCAGCAGAGCGGATCCCGGGCACCGGGATGGCGAGCGCAAAGGCGCGGCTCTTCGAGAGCTTTGCGGGGCGGGTGGGAGGGCGAGAGAGGAAGCTGGGAAACCGGCCCCGGCTTCGAGGGCCCCGGCCAGGATTTGGGTCTTGTCCTCCGGGCGTGGGTGCGGTTGGCAACAGCGGTCCCTGGGGCTGTGGCTGCTGGTGGGGTCTTCAGGGATGCTCGTGGGAAAACTGCCTGGAACAGTCGGAAGCGGGGCAGGGGCGGGGCGGGGAGGGCCCCGGGCTGGAGTGCGAGCCGAGCGGCAGGTGGGCAGGGGCCTGCGCGGGGCTCCGGGGCCGCTCCTCTCTCCGTCCCTGCGTCTTTGTGCGTTTCGCATCCTTTCGCAGTAAACGCTCTTCCGAGAAATTCCAAGGGGATCTCAGCCAGGCAGAGGGGGAAGGGATCCTGCCCACGTCTGGGCAGGGGAGGAGGGG